GTGCAGTAGAGGGCCTGAGGCTGCAGAAAGCAGGGGCCCTCCCACCCACTGTGTGCCACCCTCTCAACCATGGGGGCATTGTGGGGCACAGGCACTGTTACCTTGGTGCAGGGTAACCTCTGCTACCTGACTGTGAATTCCACAAAGCCGGGGCAGAGAGACACCCTGCAAAGGGGGGCTGGAGCTACATCCCACAGGGCCCCCCAAAGGAAGTGGCAATAGAGGGGTGCAGGCAGAGTGTTATCAGTGGCCCTGTGGGCAGGGCGGGTCAGGGCTGGACAGAGGCCAGCGCCTGCCACAGCGGAGATTATGTCTCGGGTTTAACGTTCATTCCCATCCATGACCTGCCCAGGAGAGAAGGGGGTGAGCTGCACTGGGAGGCTCGTCTGACAGCTTTGGAGACTCCTGAGTTCCACCAGCACCCGTGCTCAAAAGGGACATCCAACAACGGTGCACAGCCTTTCCCACACTCCCATGAGCACGCAGCAGTGAACCTCCCAAAACCTGCCAAGCATCACCCCTGCTGCAGCCACCCCAGCTCTGCCCAGCAAAGACCCTGGGAGACGGACAGACTACTGCCACCATCCCTGCTCCAGGTGGGGCCCAGCAGCCCCCTGGCAGCCTTGCCTGCTCCCCAGCACCCTCCCCCCGGCACCAGCAGGAAACCACAGCCGCAGCCTGCGGGCAGCTGATAACGGTCACCCAGCCCCATCCTGCCTGCACCCCACCACCCGGGAGCCGTCCCCACGCCCACTGCTGCCCAGGCCGTGGGGTGCACCCACACCATGCACAACGGCAGCCCCAGGGCTCAGTGTCCCCTGCACAGAGCTGCGGGCTCTTGCTGACAGTGCAGCTGGGGCACCAGGACACACCAACAGTTGTTGTGCATGGGCACCATGCTCCCGAGTGTCCCAGCATGCTCCTGGCACACCACGCAGTTCCACGCCTGCAGTTCCACGCCTCGCATGTTCTAGCAACACAGATATGGCGGGAGAATCTCAGAGCAGAGTGGGGGAGGAGAGGGTGGCATGAAATCGAGTGATCTGACACAAAGGGATGGGCAGGGGATAATTGAGCTGCTTCAGCTCCTGCCCTGCCTGGGGGCACACAGTGCATTCCTGGCCACAAGGGTACCTCCCTGCCCTGGAGGTCCCATCCCCCAGGGGCATGCCCTCACTCCCCAGGGAACAGCTTTCACAGCAGTTTGTGTTGAGCAGGTAACAACATTCCTGGAATAAACTTGGGGCCCAGTGCAAATACACAGTGCTGAACCCGGTGGCATTGATGTGGCACTAGCCCATGCAGGATTCTCCAGGCAAATCCTGGGTGAGCTCACACTGGCTCCAAGGAGCTCTGTGATGGTGCATCATACCAACAACAAGACCCCTGAGGAATCCCCTCACTGAGCACCACACAGCCACAACCCATCACGACTTTGCCACAGCATGCCAGAAGTGGGCAGGCAACGCAGCACACAGGGTATCCTAGTGTCAGGCACTTCGCTGCTGAGGGGCACAGGGCAATTAACATGTTTCATCCAAACATCACTGGTCACATGAAGAAAGCCTGGACTAGAGCACACCAATACGCACAATGAGGCACTGGGGCCCCTACTGCTCCCCTCTTCCCCAACAGGCCCAGGGGCACCCCAAGGTGCCAGGCACCCCTGGGGGTGTTTGGGAGCCAGAGCCCACACAGGTCAGGGCTGCGTGCCCCCCCCGCCGCGGCACTCAGCCCGCTCACTGCCATCCCTTTCCCAGCGCATCTGTCACAGAAGGCATGTGGCACAGCTCGGCCTCGTGACAGTGGGGGATGCACGGCGCCAGCTCGGCAGAAGGGAGGGATACGGCAATGGGCCGTGCCCTGGCTGGACATGCCCATCCCGGGACCCAAAGCATGTGGCTTGGGAAGCTCTCCCTCCTGCCAGAGGGGTGCACAAGCTAGTTCTCTGCAAGGTGTCCCAGGGAAGGTGCTGACCTTGGGAAAGTTGCTTCCCTGCCATGAAGCTGGAGCCAGACCCGCAGGGAGGGAGAACAGCTCCACTCTGCTTTGCTCCCCTCCTCCCCCTCTGCACTGACACCATCACTACAGGGGAAAAAACAATGATAATAATAAAAATAATTAAGGAAGAAAGTGCAGAGCATGCTGGGAGAGTGAGAGCTGCCCCCAGGGGTCAGGGCCCTGCTGGGGTCTGGATGCCAAGACCTGTCTGCCGGCCCTGCTCCAAGCAGCCCTGGGCACAGCACCACTAGCACCAGCACCAGACAACTGCTGCCCCAGCCACTGCCACCTCCTCTGAGCCCATTACACTCTTACTTCTCACCTCTCCATATCTGAGGTGGGGAGTAAAACCTCCCTCAGGCCTCCACTAGCCCCAGCAGCTCCTCACCATCCTCGGGCACAAGAGTGCATCAGGCTCCCAGCTGTGCATCAGGCTCCCAGCTGGGCAGCCTCCCTGTTCCAAAGCTCTCAGAAGAAAGGAGCAGGGAAACATCTCTGGAGAGGTGCAAGAAGAGCTGCAGTGGGACAGGATGCATCCCCAGGGATGGCAAGGAGTACATCTTTCCTCTGGGAGGGCACAACTTGGAAGGGGAGCAGCCAAAACCCCCTCGGCAGCAGCTCCCAAGCAGGAAACTCCTCCAAGTTAATGCAGCCCTGAAGAGCAGCCTGGGCAGAGCGGCTCATTAAATGTTTCTGGCTGGCGGGAGGCCAGCGGCAGAGCTTGTTTTTTCTATATTCCGATAAACAGTCCGGGGAGGGGAGGGGAAGGGGGAGGGGGCGCAGGCTCTCGATGTGCCACCCAGCCCCAGCGGGGGAGCGGGGGAAGATGCGGGGGGCACACGCACATTGCAGGGCAACACTGCACAGCAGCTTCGTGTCCTCCCTGCCCTGGGGCGACGGGCAGGGGCGGCGTGGGGGGGACACAACACATGAAGCCATCCACAGGGATACTCCCAGGTGAGGGGTGACCCCACAGCTCCCCATCCCCGCACCGAGGGACGACCCCCCTCTTGGCACCCACCAACATGCCGATGACATTCCCAGTGGCGTGCGGCCAGCTCCCGGGGAATAGGATGGGGCCCCAGCGCTGGGTCACACGGCCTCGCCCCAGCGAGGCGGGACCCCGCCAAGGCTGGGGTGCCGGGGGGCGCGGTGCCCCCGGTGCGGGTGCCTGCGGGGCGGGTGCTGTGGCTGCTCGGCCTGGCTCGCAGGGAGGTTCACGTGACTTTCTGCTTGAGGAAGCAGCGCTCTGGCAGCTTCCAGTGGGAGATGGAGGAGGAGGAGGAGGAGGAGGAGGATGGGGGAAGGGGCCGCCTGCCTTCATAGAAACACGGCGGCGAGGCGCAGGCAGCGCAGGGGCCGGGGGCCGCCTTGCAGGGGCACCCCTTCCCCACCCCGGTTATACAGATGCAAACCCCTCGGCAGAGGCGGCTCCGGGGGAGGCACAGGGACCGTGTGCTGTCACAGTGCCTCGCTGCCTCCAGCAGCCCCCCAGCATGGGGTTCTGGCCTGGCAGGAGGCTCTCTCGGGACCACAGAGATGCTGCCACGGGAACTGGGCTGAGGAGCGTCCCTGCTGTCCCCCCACAGGGACCCCATGTGACAGATGCCCAGGGAAATGGCAAAACCCTCTCCCCAGGGCCCCCCAAACTTGGCTCCCATCTGCTGGCCAGCACCACGGGGAGCTGGTGCTGGACAGGGTTCCAGCAGCCCTCTGAGACCCCTGCCCTGCCTTGCTTCTGGCACGGCAACATTCTGCACGGCAGCAAGCAGTGCAGCCAGACCAGCTGCCCCAAACCTGCCCCCAAGCCCAGGCGTGCAGACAAGTATCCCTGCGGCAGCACCCTCCCAGGTGCTGAGACCTCACCAACTCATCACACCTCCTATGTAGTCCTGCCACCTTGCTAGCCCGCAGGATCCAGAATTAGGAACAAGCTCTCCAGCAGACACCCCACAATGGCCATGGCGGGGGGCCATACAGCATCCATTGCCAAGCCTCTGCAGGGACACTGTGCCCACACCCACACAGGGAGCTGTAGCACCCCACAGACCTATTGCTCTGGCCACAGAGGCACTTCGGAGTCACTCTTCACAGTGCCACCTGCATGCCTGCCCAATGCCCCTGCAGCACTCTGCCTGTGGGGGTCCCAGTTTCAGGCTGGTACTAGCACCCATGTGCTCTTGAGTCCCACATCTCTTTGTCCAACACATCTCAGCATCCACGCCATAGGAATTCCAGCACCCATGCCGTGGAGTCCTAGCCTCACAACCACATCCCAGCACCCATGCAATGGGGTTCCAAACCCCCAGTCAGACACAAGCGTCCATGCTCTAGGGACTCCAGCCCTTCAGCTAGATTCCAACAGTCCATACCATGGAGACCTCACACACATGGTTGGACCCAATAGCCACACCACAGTGACTAGGACTCCAGTCCCCACACCTTGCTGACACCCATAGCTTATCCCCAGCACCAGCACCATGCCCAAACCTCAGCAGCTACACTGAAAGCCACCTGTGTTGTATTCAGCTCCCAGCAGCCATGCCCCAGGAACTCAGCCCCATAACCAAACCCCAGCACCAATACCACCGAGACTCCGGCACCAATGCCAGATGCCAGCATCAATGCCATGGAGACCCCAGCACCAACACCGTGAAGACTTCAGCCCCATAGCCAGATCCCAGCACCAATGCCATGCAGTCCCAGAGACCAGTACCCTGGAGAACCGATCCCCATAGCTGGACTCCACCACCAATGCCTTAAGAGACCCCATCATTAATGCCACGGAGACACCAAGGCCATGGAGACCCCAGTCCCGTAGCTGGAGATCTCAGCCCCAAAGCAGGACAGCAACATCAATGCAATGAGGACCCCAGCCCCACAGCCGGACCCCGACACCAGTGGGGCCCCCACCCCGTAGGTGGCCCCCAGCTCCCCACCCAGCCCCGATGCCGCGGGGACCCCAGCCCAAGGGGCAGCCCCCGCCCCGCACCACTCACCAGGGCATGCACAGCCCACTGACATCTTCACATGCCTGGCCCGGCCGGGGGTCGCTGCGCGCTGCCCGGGCCACGGGGGTCTCGCATGGGCGGCGCGCCGGGGGCTCCGGCGCGGCGGGCGGCGGGTAGCGCCGCGGGCAGCGGCGGGCGGGCGGGCGCGCCGCGAATCGGCGGAGCGGCGGCAGCAGCAGCAGCAGCAGCAGCAGCAGCGGCGGCGGCGGCGGCGGCGGGGGCGCTCGGGGCGCTCGGGGCGGGGGCCGCGGCGGTGGAGCGGGAGCGGGGGCGGGGGCGGCTGCGCCGGCGGCGGGCGGGTGGGGGCGCCTCTGCGCGTGCGCGGGGCGTCCCGTTTTCCCCCCCGCCGCGAGCGCGTGCGTGCTGCGTGCGTGCGCGCTCCCCCCGGCTCGCCGCAGCTGCCGCCGCCGCGCTCGCACGCGCGCGCCCCCCCCCCTCCCCTCGGTTCCCGCTGGCCGTGAGGGGCGCGGGGATCCCGGTGTGAGACGGGGCAGTCCGCGAGGGACGGCGTGACGGGAAGGACGAAGCGTCCCCCCTCCGCTCTGAGGAGACTCTCGGCCCTGCCCCCTGGGCTTTGCAGCGCAGCAGCTGCAGCGGCAGCGCTCTCCCCAGACCCCCGTGGTGGGTGAGGGTTCTCAGGGCTGCGGGGGTTCCCGGGGGCTGACGCTTCCGTCCTCCCCCGCGGCCGGGGCTGCTCTTCCCCGGGCCTGAGAGAGACTCAGCTGGAGGGACGAGTGCTCAGGGACCCACGCCCGGTCGGCCGCTGAGCCCCGGGTGTCTAGGGCAGCTGTGGGGGCTCCCCCGGGAGGCCGTGGGGACGAGCAGAGCGGCCGCGGCCGTTCCGCATGGAGGAACCTGCTGAAGGCTGGTGCCTTTTGGGACCTGGCCAGTCTCCCAGCCCCGGGGCACGGGGAACACACGGCACTGTGGAGGTTTTAGGTGGGAGGAAAGGGGCCAGAGAGGGCCAGAGGGCAGAAAGGAAGAGGGTTCGCAGCAGCGCTTTGCACAACCAGGGAGAGTGTGACCGGCGATTGCCGTGCCTTGAGCGCGATGGCAGAGGCTGCTAGACAGGAGGCTGGGAGCTGCTCTGGTCTGTGCTGCACGCGTTCTGCAGAGATGTGGCAGCATCCCGGTGAGGCTGGGGGCCAGAGAGATGCCAGGGCAGAAGGAGCAGAGTGCCATATGGACAGGGTCTCTCTGGGGGACACCCACCCTAGAGGATCTCATCAGGGATGCTGGCCCAGCCCCACGCAGCTCTGCTCCTGCACACCAGCTGTAGGGCCAGAGCCCAGTCTGCAAAGGCAAGCACTGTCCCTGTAGTGCCTTGCCAAGATGCAGCCCCATGATGGGAGCAGCAGTGTCCTGGGCTGAGCAAACTGCCCCAGGGAGCCAAAGCCCTCTTTTCTCTGAAGGGCCAACTCCAGCCCACCTGCTCCTGCCTGGTTGGGACTCACATTCCTCTTTACTGAGTGGAGATGTCCGTTAAGCATCAGACGGGTTTTTGAGCTCTCCTTTTCACGCTGTGCCTATTAGCCCTGAGCAAGTTGCCCACCCTGGGTGCTGCCCGGGCTGAAACTGGATGGCCCTGAGCAGCATCTGGCTGTGCCTGGCCAGGGAATGGTCACAACACAGAGAGGGAAGGGAGGGGAGCCAGGGATGTAGAATGCGCATTTTCCTTTCTGGCTGTTGTTTGTTTTTCTTGTAAACCAGCAGGAATGCCTGGTGTGGCCCTGTGCCAGGAGTGCATCCCTGCTGGGGATTGTACTGAGGGAGGGAGATACCTGCAGGTGGGATTCCCTATGGTGACACTCCAGGGACCCTATGTGCAAGGAATATGGTTCCACTTTACAGGATGCACACCAGGCTAGACTTGCTCTGTCAGAGATCAGCCTTGTTGTGCCACAGAGTCCTGCTAAACACAGGGTCAGAGGGATTAGGCAGGTCACTGCATGCCCTGGATGTGCCCAGGGGAGAGGACATGACAGGAAAGGAGGGTGTGGAGCAGGATAAGGAAAGCTGCAGGGCTCCAAGGGGAACATTGCTCCACATCGCTGTCAGCAGGTCTCTGGGTGCTAGGTTATGGACAGCTTCTCGTCAGGCCAATGGATGAAAACACTGACTTTTCAAAAGTGACTTGTTCCTTAACCGTACCTGGGCTGCAGAGAACCTGGAGCACTTGCCCAGTCTCCCCAGCTTCCTCTGCCGTGCTAGAAGCAGGTGCTGGCCTGAGGAGCCAGTTACATCCAGCAAAATCCCCCACAGCCCAGCAGTGTGCTCACATTTGCCCATTGCAACAGGTGTGCTCTGCAGCACTCACACATGGATCCATAGCCCTGGAGAAGGACACAGCAGCCTGCCTGCTCCTCAGACAGCATTTTGGCCAGACACAAGTGCTGGTGGGATGTGCTATGGGCTCCTTGGATAAGGAGGTGGAGGGGAGCAGCTCCCCTGGACAGAGAGAGTGTTTGTGGCTAGGGAAGAGCAGCCCCTGTGAGGCAGGAAGTGATGTGTGGTGAGTGATCACGTTTTAAAGTCCCTTGTGGCAGGGGTGGAAGGAAGGAGAGCAGGATGAGGCTCCATGTGTCAGGCATAGTTCACCCCAATGGCCAGGCACACAGGGCCAAGAAAAGCAGTTCTCTCCTCTGGATCTCCAAGGGAATCTGCCCTGGGCAGGCCTGTGCTTCAGGGACTGAGGTAGAGGCTGGGACAATTACCTCCTGCCAGAAAAACTGTGTACTTCAGAGTTCCCGTGCCATGTCCACACTGCACCTGTGCTGCTGTAAGCACATCCCTGAACTCCATGAGATGATCCTACTGTCTGTCTGTAAGCCAGAAGAGCCACGGGAAGTGACAGTACCCAAAGGGACCCTGGGCTTCCTGAACAGAGAGTACCAAACAGGGCCAGGCAAAGCACCTGTGCAGACCGGCATCCCTTGCATTCCTGGGGAGCCAGGCTGCACAGCAAATCTGTCCAGCAAGGCCAGTTTGGCTCCTTCACATTTTCCAGGTGATTTTCTGTGTGCCAGCTTTGGAGAGCAGCGCAAGGCTAGGCACAAGCAGTGACTTGGGCACGGGTGCCCCGCCTCGTTGCCGTGCCAGGAGGCTGCACGGCAGCTCAGGTGCCCATCCCTTCTTTCATACCCGATAGTTTTTCTCATCCCCCCTGTGCCCACCACATGCGCGTGTCACACCAGCCCCACACGAGGTTCGGCTCAATGGAGCACCACGGCAGTGCAGCACCTCAGGCGGAGGGGCCGCTCAGAGCCCGCAGCAGCCCTGGACCGGCGGGCCGGCCGCGCACACGTGCGCGCCGGAGCCGGCGGGGCGGGCCGCGCCGCCGCGGGAAAACGCGCGCCTGCCCCGCCCCCAGGGGGCGCTTCCCGCCAGTCCCGCCCGCGCCGCCCCTCCCACCGCGCCCCGCGGGGCTGGGCCGGCCCTCCTGGCCCCGCCCGCCGCAGCGATGGCGGCGAAGCCCGGGGCTCTGCCCGCCCTCAAGATGGCCGCCCGCGCTGCCGAGGCCGGGCTCTCCCTCCGGCTGGTGCCCGCCTCTCGGCGCGCGGCCAGCGGCAAAAGGGTGCGCTCCCGGCGTGCCGCGCGCGGGCGGGGCGGCGCGGGGGTCGCCGGGAGCTGTAGTGCGGGGCGGGCGGCGGTCACGTGGCGCTCTCGGCAGTGGCCGCGCTGGGAGCAGAGGCGCCAAGATGGCGGCGCGGCGGGGCGGAGCGGTGCCCGCCGCCAGCGGGGCCGGGGCCGGTGGTGCCGCCGCCGCGGCCGCTCCGCGGGGGCTGGCGAGCGGCGGAGCCCTGCGCGAGCCGCCTTTCCGCGCCGGCAGCCCTCTGCAGGTAAGGGGCGGCGGGGCGCTGCGGGCCGCGCCGTGCCGTGACACGTGGAGGCCGGGGCGGCTCCTGCGGCGGCTGCACCACGTGTGCCGGAGCGGGCCCCGCCGCACCGGCGGCGGGCGGGGGTCTCAACATGGGCTGGCGACGCTTCCGCTGGCCCCCGGAGTGGGGTGCCCTTTCTTTGGGTGGGGGAGTGGGATGCCCGAAGCTCTCTCGCCGGCGTGGGATGTCGGCGCCGGGAGATTATGGAGCTAGGGGGGCCGCACCGCGGCCACGGGACCCGGCGAGACGGGTGGCTTGGTGTCCCCTGCGGGAGATGACACCCCGGCCTTGGGTGGGGGGGGACAGGGGATGCCGCTCGGGTCATTCCCCCGCGGTCCCTCCATCCCGGCGTCGCTCTCTGCCACCTGCGGCCGCAGTGAGCTGGGGCTGGCGCGGTTTGGGACACCGACATCCGCCGGTTTCGGTGGCAGGAGCTCTGGTTGCAGAACGTGGTCCGGGCCGGGGGAGGTTCCCCCAGCCGTACAGAGAAATTATCCACGGGAAGCGGGGCTTTATCTCGTAGCAAGAGGTTCCCGCGCCGGGGCAGGTGTGGGGCGCGGCGCTGCCGCTGTCACCGGCCCCGGTGGGCCCCTGGCGGGGCTGGGCTGGGTGCGAGTGTGCTGCTGTCTGGACTCACGGGGATCACTGGACTCTGGGGATCACGGGGATGCAGCACCCCAGGAGGGGACGCGGGGGCACCTGTGTTGTGCGTTTGTCGGGATTTTTTTCCGGGAAAAAAAGGCTTCCGCCTCCTGCGTGGCTGAGGGGCTGTGGGGGAGATCCCCCCCCATGCCCCCGACCCCGAGCTGGAGGACGCCAACCCCGTCTCGCCCCTCCCCGACGCGAGCAGAGTGGGCTGCGTATGGGGGAAGAGAGGTGTGTTCCCGCCTGATGTTTTCCGAAAGCACCAGAGGAATCCACGGAGCATCCTCTGGCTGTGCCGCGCTCGCCGGGCGGAGCCCCCCGGCTTCCCGGGCTTACCCCGCGCCCTTGCCGGCAGCTCCGGCGCTGTAAGAGCAGCCTTGGCAGCCAGCCGGGGACCATGGCCGCCCTGTGCTCGGGGCGTAGCCGCAGCACGCCGGGCACACGTGTCAGCAGCGGCCTGCGGGGGCCTCTGTTGTCCCTTCCGGGGACCAGAGCAGCGAGCGCAGCGTACCCTGTGCCGGGTGGGTGCCGGCAGAGCTGCTGGCCTCGCTTAGACTGCGTCCATTGCGAGCAGTTAGCTCCAGTCCCAGAACCCTGGTGCCCAAAGGCCACTCTGGGGCTGTGGGCATCCTCCCTTCTCCCCGGCAGTGCTGGTTGCTTGGGCACAGCGTGGCCAGAGCCGAAGCCTGTCCTTGAACAATCCCGTGACCCTCTTC